AGATCGCTGCCATAGCCCCCTCTCCTGCAGGAACAGCCTTTTGCATGGCTTCTCCGCGGTGACGTGTAATTTGTGCTGTATCTCTTAAGCTTAACGTGCTTGCTGCAGCATGCGCAGACAGTTCTCCTAAAGAATGACCTGCAAAGTACTTGGCCTTTTGAGCTAAATTTAAATTTGCTTCTTTTTCCAAAGTGCGCATAAGGGCCAAACTGACAGTCATTAGTGCAGGTTGTGTGTTGGCCGTAAGGTTTAGGTCGCTTTCTGGTCCTTCAAAGATTACTTTAGACAGCGGTGAATTTAAGCTGTCATCGACCTCTTCAAAAACTTCACGGGCTCCAGGACTTGCTTCAAAAAGAGCGCGTCCCATGCCAACAGTTTGAGATCCTTGACCAGGAAAAAGAACAGCAAGTGTCATCGTGATAGACTCCTTAAAAATTTTCGCCAAGGTGATATGGGAAAGCCCTTTTTGTCAAGGGATGAAATTGACTGTGGCTGCAAAATAACGGCTGGAAGTTTTGCTTACATTTTTAAGAAGGAGTTAGAATTGTAAAGCGATTTATGATACGTAAAAAAGTTAAGAAATCTAAATGAAAAAAGAAAAATGTCTGTTCCTTTAGGGTCTGTTTTGTGGCTATTAATCGCAGCTGTGACATTGGCAGAGTCCTCTACGGATATTACATTCCAAGTTTGCCGGAAATTGTTCGCTTTTTCCGGTCATCAGAGCAATCAGTTTCTTATACTTTGGGTATAAACCTTTTGGGACTTGACGTTTCTGGACCTGTTTATGGAGTGCTTTCGGATCGTTTTGGCCGTAAAAAGATTTTATGTGTTGGGCTTTGTATCTATACGGTGGCAACCGCTTTGTGTGCGCTTTCTTGGAGTCTTCCTACTTTAATTATTGGCAGAGGCTTACAAGGTGTTGTGGAAGGAGTCGCTTATGTTGTTTCTATTGCAGCGCTTAGTGACAAAGTCTCTGGGGTTCAGTTTGCAAAAGCAATGTCCATTCTGCACTTAGCTGTTGCTTTCGCACCAGGGTTGGCGCCCATTGTGGGGGCTTACATTGCTTTAAGCTATGGATGGCAGATGATTTTCTGGATTATGATTGGGTGTGCTCTTTTGGTGTTGTCAGGTCTCATTTTCTCTTTTAAAGAAACGCTCCCGATCGAACAGCGTCGACATTTAAGCTTTCAGGAAATTCTTGGAGAATATGGTGTTGTCTTAAAAAAACCAATTTTTCTTGGGTACTCATTTATTTCAAGCATTAGTTTTGCGGGCGTTTGGGCTTATCTTTCTGGTGGTTCATTTTATGTTATGCAAGTGTTGAAAGTTCATCCTAATTCTTTCGCTTACCTGCAAATTCTTTTGGTTCTATCTTACATGGTGAGGACAGCTTTGAATCAAAAATTTGTAGAAAGCTATGGTGTTCAGCGCCTTCTTATGGGGGCAATACTTTTTTCTCTTTTAGGTGCGTCTGGTCTGTTTTTAACAGCGTTTCTAAATCCTGATTCTTTATTATGTATTTATATTTCTTTGTGCGTTTTTTGTATTGGTCTCGGGTTTATTTTTGCCAACGCAACAACCCTTGCCATGGAAGAAATTGAAGAATCACGCGGCATTGCAGCATCTATTTTCGGGGGATTAGAGTTGGTTTGTCCAACACTCGTTGTTGCTTTTGTTGGATGGGTTTATTCAGGGACGTTATTTTCTTTTGCATTTCCTCTTTTGGTTTGCAGTTTCCTCGCTTTATTGGGGATATTTTTTGTTCAGCGCCTTAAAAAAAGACAACACTATTGAAGCGATTCATTTAATTGATTTTTTATTTTAATGGTTCCTCATTTAAGGGTACATTACTTTCTTACTCCGATATTTGTAGAGGAATTAGCCAAAAGAATGAAAGCCAGGTTTTTATTTGCGAGCATAATTAGCTTTTTACTATGGACCAGTTCTCAGGGGACCTGTTCTATTGAAAAAAGGATCTGCACAGAAACAAAGCAGTTTCTTAATCAGTTAAAGTCACAGCAATATGCTATTGTTGATTTTGATGTAACACAGCAGGAAATTCAAGACTCTATAAAAGCTTTTAAGGATTTCTTAGCCTTGCCAGAAGCCTTTAAAGAAAAGATTAATCATCGAGTGTATAAAACACATCGTCGAGGTCGGTTGGGGTATAAACGGCGTTCTCAAGAATCAGGAGATGGGGATTCTAAAGAATTTTTTCACTACCACCCGTTTTTAGAAAGTATGTTTCAGCCCTCTGTCCGTGACAATATGGTTGTTCAGAAATTTCTTAGAAAAGCAAATGTGATATGGTGTAAAGCTTATGACAAACTTGGTTCCATTTTAAAGGAAATGGATGAACAGTTTCCAGGAACCTATAATCATGTTTTTAAAACAGGAGAAGAGCCTATACACTTAACATTACGGTTTTTGAAGTATGATCTTCAGTCTCCTACCGAAAAGATAGCGCGCTCACATTTTGATGTAGGGACGTGCACTTTAGCAATTGCAGAAAGCCATCCGGGCTTGCGTATTGGGAGCCAGGAAACAACCTTGAAGCCAGTAACACATAAACCTGGCTCAGCTGTGTTTTTTCTTGCGCAAAACTTTGAAGCGATGTTAGGTGCAGGCAGCAATTTACTTCCTGCATGGCATGATGTTGTTCAAATAAATACAGATAAAGAAAGATGGGCGATCGTTGTTTTTGCGGATCTTCCGAATAACATTGGGGCGAGTAAGGAGGTTACGCATAAAGATCCTGGGGCCGTATTTTAAGAAACAAAGGCTCTACTTTTCTTTTGTGCTTGATTCTTTATTTGAACGGCTATAAACTTTTACCCTGAATTTCTAAGCTTGGGTTAAGTGTTTTTTTCATGATTTTTCGGTCTTTTGATCTTTGTCATGCGGACTGTTTTGCCTCTTACCGACCTGTGCGAAAGCGCTAAGGGCGCTATTTATTCATACCCATTTTTTATTCTAGGCATTTTCGTACAACATATTTATTTTTCAAGGTAATAGGTACATGAGACAAACATTAGGACTTTGGCATGCAACTTCTTTGGTTGTAGGCAATATTTTCTTGCTTCCTGCCTCTTTAGCGGCTTTTGGCAGTGTTGGGCTTCTAGGGTGGATTGTCACTGCCTGTGGGGCCATTTGCTTAGCTTTGGTTTTTGCACGGCTTGGACGACATTACCCAGAAACAGGGGGACCTTATGCCTATTCCAGACGCGCCTTGGGAGGCTTTATGGGCTTTCAAGTTGCTTGGAACTATTGGATTGCCAATGGGATTACGGGGAATGCTGCGCTTGCAGTTGGATTTGTAAGCTACGCAACCTACTTCATTCCAGAGCTTTCTGAAAACTGGCTTTTTTCCTTAGGAACAGGGTTAGGCGCATTATGGCTTTTAACCTTTATTAATGCTTTGGGAATCCGTGCTGGAGGAACTGTTCAACTTGTCATCACAATTTTAAAGGTCATTCCCTTAATTATTATGGCAACTGTTGGCCTTTTCCATGTCAATTGGGATCATATTTTCCCGCTGACAACTGGATCTTTTACATTTAACGAAGCTTTGACAGGGGCCGTATCTTTAACCCTTTTTGCATTTATTGGGTTAGAAGCTTCTACAATTCCTGCGGAAAATGTAGAAGATGAAAAAAAGACAGTTCCACGGGCAACCATCATCGGCACAGTCTTTGCTGCTTTGATCTATATTGTAACGACGATTGCATTGATGGGGATCATTCCACCAATAGAGCTGGCTCAGTCGCAAACGCCTTTTGTGGATGCGGCATACCGCATTTTTGGTGTGTGGTGGATTGGAGCGGCTCTTGCAGCAAGTGCTGTTTTATCAAGCTTTGGTACTTTGAACGGTTGGATCCTGTTACAAGGCCAAATTCCTTATGCGGTTGCACGAGATGGTTTGTTCCCTAAGATTTTCACACGTCTTTCAAAATCAGGTGTACCGATTGTAGGCCTGCTTGTTTCCAGCATTCTAACATCGTTTTTGCTGATTCGTTATAGTGATGCAGGACTTGTAAAACAGTTTACCTTTATTGGCCAACTGACGATCTTTTCGACGCTGATTCCTTATCTATATACAGCGTTGTCAGACCTTGTTCTACTCGCCTTAGGGAAAGAAAAGCTTTTTCCTGCACAGCTCATACGTTCTCTTTTTATTGCCTTGATTGCGTTTTCTTACTCTGTTTGGGCCATTGCAGGATCGGGGCAAGACATTGTGTTTTTTGGAACGATCTTTACTTTGGCAAGCCTTCCTTTATATGCGTGGGTCCAAAAATATAAAGCGGTTAAAAAAAGCGATTAAGAAAAACGTTATAAATCTTACACAAAGTCTCTAGGTCTATCAGGCCAACACACTCATTGGCCTGATGGGCTGTGGCATTCAGCAGTCCAACTTCTGCGAGAGGAGCTAAATGGTGAAGAAAACGCCCATCAGAGGTTCCTCCAGTGGGAGCATTCCGAGGAAGGTCTCCGCAAATTTCTCGAATTGATTCATATAGAACAAAGTGGAGTGGAGATTTCAAACTTTCAAACGGTTCTGCACTAAAATGATATTGAGTTTCATAATTTTTCGCATGCTTTTTACAGATATCTTCAATCCATCGAGAAAGTTTTTTTCCTGTATGATGAGGGTTGAAACGAATATTAATATAGGCCTGCGCATTTTCAGGAACGACATTGGTCACTTTTGTTGGCGTGTCTAGGCCAACAATTTCTAAATTAGAAGCCGGAAAATTTTCATACCCTTGGTCTAAGTCCTGTTTTGTCAGTTTCCTCAAAATTTTAATCAATGTTGTACAGGGATTGTCTGTCGATTCTGGATAAGCAACATGCCCTTGTCGTCCTTTCACAGTGAGAACAGTATTTAGACTCCCTCTTCTTCCTATTTTAACAGTATCTCCAACCTTATTTTCAGAAGTAGGTTCTCCAATTAGAAAAAAATCTGGGACTTGCTCCGTTTCTTGAAGCCAAGGGGTCATGCCCTTGATTCCGTCTTGTCCTGGTCCCTCTTCATCAGAAGTCAAAAGCAAACTGATACTGCCTGAAAAAGTTGATGTAGAATCCAAAAATCCTTTTGCCGCCCATACAAAAGCGGCTATTGCCCCTTTCATATCAACCGCACCACGACCATACAGAACACCTTCTTTAATCGTTGGTTCAAATGGAACTTGATCCCAGCCAAACCCAGGGGGAACAACATCTACATGCCCAACAAAGGTAAGATGAGGGCTTCCGTTTCCATAGCGAGCATAAAAGTTAGTGACGTCTCCGTTCTTCTGCTTTTCAATTTTAAACCCTAAAGAGACAAGTAATTCCTCTAAGACACTAAAAGTCCCTGCTTCCAATGGCGTCACACTTGGGCAAGCGATCAAATCTTTTGTGATCTGTAACAAAGATGAAGTCATTGGGCAGCTCGATTTTTAAGTTAAGGACGTAAAAGTTCATTTAAGGATGTTTTTGAACGTGTTCTTTCAT